CTTCTTATATATAAGGAGAAGATGAGAAAGAGGAGAGACATTCTGCATTAACAAACAGTTTCATGGTAACCTTGGGGGGACAGTGAGGGACCTGGTTATCCCCTTTGTAGGTTGAACACGTGGCTTTGTATCTGAGGCAAGTGATTGCCGTGCAATATGCAAACTACACAGAGCATCCAACCCAGGAGAAATGTTAGACGTTTCCTAAAGAGGCATAACCGTTTCCTTCTGCCAAACCCTAGGTTTTGCAGGGATCTGAGTCCCTGCTTTAAGCACAAATTGTTCCCAGATGTGCACGTTGGGGTACTGAGCACACCATCGGGCCCTACCCATGCTGGGCAGCCCCTGGGTCTCCCCACAGCCCTGCCCTGGGCCCAGCCTGGGCTCTGCTCCCTGCACAGCATCAGGTCCTCCAACCTGCCCATTCCTCTGGGCTGCCGGGGTCTATGTGGTGGGCCCCTACTCTGCCAGCCCTGCTGTCACATCTTACTCCCAGTCCCAGCCCTTCTTGCTCCTGAGAGCAACGAAGGAATTCTCTGCATTCCCCCTCGGACTCAGCGAGGTGCTACAAATTTGTGTCAGACTTGCACACTGATGTTTCTGATGTTTCTACAACGCAGCAGATTTGAATTTATTAGCCTGGAGAGGAATGCTAGAAATGAGTCCAAACTAAAATTAAATACCAAAATATATCAGAAAATTGAGTATGAATAAAACTACATCTAGAAACTTCTACAAGTACGTCTTGTATATTCTGCAAGTATCTTTACAATAGGCAAATCCATGGCAGCACTGATTCATACATCCCCATTCACAGGATTGGTTGACATCTAAAAAGTGGCTGGGTTGGAGCTTAGACAGCTTGACGATTAGGATGAGTTTGATATCTTAACATTTGGCTACTCCATTTTCTGACTTTCAAACAGCTCCGCAGAAGTACGCGTGAAGTATCTGAACATTCCTCCCACTGTTTTTTAGCCGTGGAAGGAACATAACCTGTGCACCAGATGTGCTGTGCAAAGCCCCTGCTTGCCCCTCATCCGCAGCACGTGTGCCTCTGCGGGGCCTGACCCACCTCCAGCCCAAATGAGGAACAGATGGAGCACCACGAACAGCAGGAACAAGACTTTGCTTTGAACCACATTCCTCCTATCAAAGGGCCCTCTGTCTTGCCTTCTCCTCTGTTCCTCTGGGTAATCATAAGGAAAGAACTGAGCATTTCAAAAAGCCTCCTGGGGACAAATTCACTTCTAGTGTAACTCTGCTGAAGTTAATGGTGTTGCACCATGGATTAAAACAGCACCATAATATTAAAAAACAGACAGCATGCTACTCTGTAATTACTGTCTAAGAGAGCAAAAATAATAAAAACGATTCATTCTTACAGATCCCAAAGGGCACGGCTGGCTTGGGCAGTTTAAAAGGTGAAGATAAAAGGAGGCAGCTAGAATGTAGTGATTTTTAATTTGTATATACATATGGGTAAATGACAGTCTGATAACACCGCCTCTGCACTCATTTTAAGAACAATATGCTAGAAATAAAATTTAATGTGGCTGCAAGTTTTAAAAGACTGATACAACAAAAATAGCTCTTAGGAAAATTAAAGGCCTTCTTTCATACTGCCTTAAATTAGAAACAAATTCCTTCTAATCAAGAGTTACTCCGTTGTAAGTTTAGTGCAAAGGAATTTGCCCCCACAGCACCAAAATGGGTGTTCTGTAACACAATCAAACACCAGGAATTGCATTTTATCCTCCTTAAAAAAAAGGACCCTGTTATTTTTTTAGGCAGTTAACATTTAAAGGTCATTGTAATGGGAAAGAAACATCTCTTGCATTAAGTTCCGTGTAGTTGGTACAAATGGTGCAGTCTGTTCCTTTATGGACTTCACTTTACAATAGCATATGGAGGCACGTGGAAGGCACACTGAAGCTCAGTGACATTACACAGTGCAATGGCAAAGGCAGAGATCTGATGGAATTACTGCACGGGCTTCAGAGGCATTCAGCAGCAACTGCTGTATCTCACTCTTGTTATTAAGTGAGATTCATCTAGGCAATAATCCTTTCCAGCTGAAGCAACACCTCCCCATGATGAGAATTGATCTTCCAAGCACAGGAGGTTCCAGACAAAGAGCCCAGTTCCAAGTATTTCCACAGACTGGCTGAGGAGTACCTCTGCTTTCCCATCAGTGCAGTGAACGATCCAGCTAATACTTCACGGTCATTAGTTACTCAGATGTCCCTGGTGGCCTTATGGCCTCTTATATACACAGCAACACAGCTTTACTTTCGTGTGTAATCAATAACGAGGCCACCACAAGTGCCCTTTGTACCTGCCTGCAGCCACAACACAGTCTCACTCTCTAGCAGGGCCAGCCATCACCATTTCCCAGAATAAATTATCTAGGGAAGAGGTGTTTTATTGTAAAAACAGCCCAGGCTTTCAGTTACACTGTAACTGGGAAAATAAATAAACAGAAGGGGAAAAAAAACAATAATAAATATATATATATATATATGCACATTTATATATACACTGTTGTTTAAGAACAACAGCAAACAAAACAGCAGAATCCATAACAACGTATGGAATTTTATCATCTTGTTTGTTCATGGGCAAATATCACTTTGATCAGACAGGCCTTGATTACAAGGGACGTTAGCTTCTTTGTGGATATATCCTGGTAGATATTAACATTGAATTAAAAGGATTCCTTCTGTTTAAAGACGCAGAGATGTACCCGAGTTCTCCTTTCTTTTCTGCTACCAAGGTACATGCTGACTTTTCATTAAAATGCCACAGCTGTCACCGTTATACTGAGATACAGCAATGAACCCAAGCATAAAGGAATGACAAAATGTATAAAATGTAAGACTTTAAACAAATACAACTTTAATAATGCTTTCCTATTTCCTTCTTAGCATGGGCTGATTATTCTGTACAAAAGATTTATTTATTTTCCCCAAAAAGCCACCGTAATAACAAGGGCTAGAAATACATTTTTTAAATGACAGCTGAGTATAATGAAAACACGCAGGGTCAGAAGCTGGGAGTTTATGGAAAACATCAAACACGAAGTTTTGTGATGGAACAATATGAGTTATTAAGACTAAATAATCATAAAAAGAACCCTGCAATTTTCCATCAGTTCAGGGCAGACAATACTTTGTTAGTTTTAGTGTACATTCCTTTGTTCAGGCAGAAAGATCCACACTATGAAATCTCCATTAATAGGCTAAAAGGAAAAGCTCTCAGTTTGAATCTGACAAGATTAAGCTTCATCTAACAGTGTGACATTTAACATAACGAAACCCACAGAAAAAATAAAAAATAAAACCTTTGAGACTTTATCAGACAGCAGTAGACTTCAGAGATGCTGATCATGAGATTGTGTTTGTACTAAAACAACACATTAATTACCTGGAGAGGCTTGAAGTGAGGAGGAAGATTGCAAGAGTGGATTATCAAACCCTCAGTCTTGACAACACTTGCAACGAGACCTTTTAAGTGCTTGGCCACCTATGCAGGTTTGTGCTATGTGAAGCTCTTAGTGGGCGCTGAGAGTCCTTGTGCCAATCTATTTCTGAGTGTCTTATTCCTTTAAAAATCACGTATTGTTTTGGCTTTCTCACACGGGGCCTGAACCCCAGTAAAACATCTACAAGAAATCTGAAGAAACTGTCCCTCAGACTGCGACTTCTTTTTTGATGTCACAGCCCAGAAGGTCCATACATATGTGAATATATGTAAAAATGACACACATATATTACTTGTGTGTATATTTAAATATATATTTATACATGAGCTACCCTGGTTTAGCCATTCCCTGCAATGGTTCTCTAGTACTGAAAATGCTGAGTGGAGCACCTCAGTGAAATGGTAATACCAGAAGTACAGCGCTCAAAGAATTAACAACGGGGGCACTGCCTTCAAAACAACTTTAATACATGATTAGATTATGCATGTGCTTCAAAGCGTGGATGACTGGAGTCTATAATTAAAAGTTTAATATTAAAATAAGCTTTGTGCTGTAATGAATAATACGCTCCCTCAAACAGCAGACTAGAGACTCAGAAAAAAAAAAAAAGTATCACCATTTTATTGAGGATCACCTTATGAATTTTATGCATGAAATCCTTTGCAGACACATCTGGAACTGCAATATCCAGTGGTCAAAAAGGAAACGTGTCAGGAGAAGAAATAAAATCCTACATTTCTCTGCCCAGTTAAAAGGGGCAGTCAGGAGTACAGGAACCAGAAAGGGAAAACAGAAGCTCAAATATATTATTTTTCAGCCTAATGACAATTAGTTTGCTTTAGAACTACCTATTCATGCTATGACATCTGCATTGGGCTGTGTGGATCGAGGTCATTATTTCTACTCTGCAAGCCACGACGCACTCCTGCTGCAGGTCACGCAGGAGAGCGGGCTGTAATTATTTCTGTTTACCTCCAACAAAGGGCACTCATTGGGTGCAGCATTCCCAGAGCACGATGCTGCTGTCGCTTTGGCTGCCACATTTTCTGTGTCAGCGATGCACGTGGTTACGAATCCCGTTCGCTGCTGCCTGAAACGACTCTCTAGTAAACCACTGCAGCGACCCCGAACTTACTAAAACAAACAAAAAACGCTGTGCTACAAAAGGGTTCTACAAAAAAAAAAAAAAAAAAAAAAAAAACAAAAAAAATTCTCAGTCCTTTTCTACTGAGAAAACGCTCTGCTTTAAAAATCTAACAGTTATTGGTTGCGGAAAATGTCAGCCCCGCAGAGGCTCGTAACACGTGCACCATGGCAGCACGCCCAGCCGCCGCGCACGCCTCGCTTTGCCCACACAAAGCAGCGGCTCTCAGCGCACCGCACTCACACCGCCTCGTCCACCACCGCGGTGCCGAGGCTGCAGAACCGGGCTGCTACAGAAGCCGCCAAGGAAAGAACGGCGGAACCCTTAGACACCATTTATATCGGCCCGCACTCCACCAAACGCCGCTTTCGCGGAACCGAGCCGACCAGCCTGCGGCACCCCGCCCTCCGCCGGCACCGGAAGAGGCGGGATCTGCGCGCGGCGGCGGCTGACGGCGCTGGGTGAGGGGCGGCGGGGCGGCGGTGAGGAAGGGGGGTGTGGGGGGGTGTGGGTGCGCGGCTGGTCCCGGGGTAAAGGGCTCCGGCCCGGCCCGGCCCGCTGTGAGGGGAGGGAGCCCAGTCCTTCGTTCCAAGCTGCGTTTGGCCTCAGGAGATGGAAGGTGACGGTGTCCCATGTCGCCTCCCGCTGATGAACGTTGTTGTTAATTCGTCTTGAGGAGAGAAGGCTGCGGCGGGGCGTCACCGCCCGGCCTGTGGGAGCCCTTGAGATACATTGGAGGCCTCAGGGTCCCCAGGAGCCCCTTCCGCTCCGTCCTTCCGCCTGCAAAGAGCAGGCAAAACAGCAAAGGGCTTAACCAGGAAGGGAAAAGACGGAGACCCGTAATGCTGCAAAGCGCGCCGGGCTCGTTAAGGCAGGGCTTGCAGAGCTGCTCTCAGTCTGCTGGTAGGGCAGAGCTGATTCCCGTATAGGCACGTATGTTAACAAAGGCCTTAAGCACAAGTGGTATTTGAGAGCTGTGTTATGAGGCCGTTGAACATTAGCGTAGGTCTGTTCTTTCTCTCAAACAAGTTATTAACACACAGATTATGGTAAATAAATCTGATCGCTTTGCGGGCTGTAGTTACCTGTAAGATTTGCATTGTATTCTGCCTAAGCAAGCTTTTCAAATTCAGAATGGCTTGGGAGCGCATGCTGGAGAAATAGCTTTTTCTCTATTGCTGACCCTCAAATGCCCCATTTCTTTTTGCTGCAATTCATCTTGCTCAAAATTGATTCAGTGACACTGCCACGTAATATGTCTAGATTAGCTATCAAGTATTTAGCCTGATCAGTGTCTGCGTGTCCAATATAGACGCAGAGGTTGGATGTGGAATTGGCATTGCTTTCTGTCAGACAACCCATTCAGGACAGCTGAAACAATGAAGGCATTTTGTTTGTTTTTACAGTCTTAGATACGGATGGCATTAGGTAATCTGTGTTACCAACCCAAAACTTCACTGCTGAGCTCATCTGAAAGAGTAAATTTTCATTGTCCTTCCCTTGCCCTGACTGGATTTTGGGAGCTGTTACAGTGGGAGTCTTTATAAGTTGTTAAATGCGCTTTTATTGTTCAAAATGTTTAACCTTTTCAGAATGACTTCCTTGGTCGACGTACCCCTGGACTATGAGAAGATGTTCGCTCATCGGTTCACGTCAGATGATAAAGAGTACCAAGAGTACCTGAAACGTCCTGCAGATCCCCCTCCAATAGTAGAAGAATGGAGAAACAGATCTGGTGGCAATCAGAGAAACAGAGATCGGTACTGGTGTCCTTTTTATTTTTAAAGACAAATACCTGGTCAAATTACCATTTATTTATTTCAGAATAAAGATAGGAATCTGTAATGATAGCAGAACTACCCCTTTTAATTATCTATGTTTAAGACATGCAAAGGAACAGTCTAATAACATGATGACCTGTTGCTAGCTGTCCAAAACACTTTTCATTTGTAACCTGAATATTTGCTGCTCTGTGACTAGTCTATTAGACTAGTCTGTATTTCTTTTATTAGAAGAGACTGTAAAATCTATCATCTCTGCCTAGCAAAGGTAATATTACATTCCTACAGCTAAATACTTTGAATTATATTATTATTATTTTTCAGAATGTAATTGTAGCTTTTTACTTAATTCTGGACAGTAACATCTCATTTCTGTGAGACTGAAAAAGGGTGATTCCAGGATATGGTATGTTTCATAATACTAACACCGAACAATTAACATTGCCTATAGCAGTAGTGCTACAGCTGGAAAGCAATAATTGAGCCTCAATAGTGGTTAAGTGCCACTGATAATTAGCTCATTGAGTGTCATTAAGTTATGCTATATGCTCGTGCTCTTGAGTATGGGAAGCCACAAAGGACTGAAGCATTAAGCAATATATTGCGGTACAAATTCCAAGACTGTGCTGTTAGTTGCATGCAAAGAATTCATTGTCATTAATCTTTTAAAAACTCACAGTTTGAGTGTTTGGTATTTCTTTTCTTTGCAGGTTTCAAGATGGCAGGTATTTTAGAGGGGACAGATACAACTGGCAGAGTGACCACAGATCTAATCAGAGGCCAGACAGAGGTTGGGGTAACAACTACCAGCAGCACAGACAAGGACAATCCTACTATGGACAATATGGCTACAACTCCTACAACCCAGGGCCTCGCTACCATCCCTACTGATGGTACCTGTGGATGGAAAGTCCAGTAATACTACGTAGTAAGTTAGGTTTTAGATTTCATTTGTCACCAGTTTCCTTATTTTTGATAGTTTAGAGATAACTAAAGAATCTGTGTTGAAGTCCAATGTTGTTTATCTGTAGTGTGAACTGAAAAAGGGAATACCTTTATGAATAATAGAAGTCCATTATATGGCTTGTTTAGTCTGTATACGTTTAATGTAAGATCCATCTCATATTCTTTTATCTCCACCACTGAGATCCTCCCTGGTACATTTTGGAAAACATAACAGGTCTGGGTAAGGTGGCTGTGGTTTGTCTGCAGCCTGTAGCATTGTCTGAAGATAGCTGTTTGTAAAAGTGACAGACAGTGGCCTTCTCCAGAGAGCATTTCTTAGTTTAATTTTCGATAGTGAGAAAAGCTTAGTTTGAATTTCAAATGCCTTAAAGAGGAGAAGAAATCTGCAATTACAGAAGCATTTTGGGGGGGTTGGAATTTATGAAAACTCAAATAGGAACTTCTTAGGTGTTTGATAAAGGTATGATATCTCAATATTTGATTTGTTGTCAATTGTAGGACAAATGAGATCTCCCATATTATGTAAGCTCCTGTCCATTGAACCAATGGCTTAAATCTTTGTGCAGTATTCCTTTTAAAACATGGTCTAACAATTAGTGTAAGAATTAAGTAGTTTAAATATTTATCTTGTTACTCTAGCAGTTCAGTGGTATAGTAGTTTAACCTGAGATGTGATACCAGGCTTAGATTAATTTGTATCATCTTAAATTTGGTATGTGCATAACATATTCTGGATTTCCATTTCAGTAAAGCTGTAGAACTGTGATGTCTACTGTAATTAGTTTGTATGAAATACTGTGTGGCTGTTATACAACACAGGAACTATATTCAGTACTGTTCTTTACTTTGTTTCATGAGAAAATAGCATAAGCAGTGAAGAGTGGATTGGTTTTTTTTGTTTGTTTGTAGAATTTAATTACTGTTAATTATTCACACAATAAAGCTATTTCAAGTTTAAGGATGTTTCTGAATATTTATGAAATCTGCTTTTGAAGCTTTCAGAATTGCAACGCTCATCCAGGCTGACTGCTGCTCAAGAAGCAGTACTAACAGATAAGTATTAATACTGGACAGCTGCTAGTTTGAATTAGCAGAGTGGCCTACTCAGCTAAAATAAAGAGGATGAGACATTGTAATTAATTAGAAGTCTGGAGTGTTAATCCCTTACTTTACGTCTGATGATAATAGGGTCAAAGTGCCTTATTTCACCATTTGCACGATAAGCTAATTTGTATCGAGGGAGCTGTGCATTTCTTTGTACTTGACATTTTCTACAGCTATTGTACAGAAACAGAATCATCCCTGTTGACTGTTGTAAAAGTCATGACATTATGTGGTAAGTAGTTCAGACTACTGTGTATAGTTTAAATACAGAAGTCAAAAGCAGTCTCAGCTCATAAACTGCTGCTGAAAAACTAAAGAGCATGGTTACTGTTGATCTTAGAAATGTGCTGTGTCTAGCTTTTAAATAGAATCATTTAGGTTGGAAAAGACCTTTAAGATCAAGCCCAAACTTTGCTTAACCCCAAACCATGTCCACGTCTTCTGAATACCTCCAGAGACAGGGATTCTGCTACCATTGTGGGCAGCCTATTCCAGTACCTAACAACCAGGTCTGTGAATAAATATTTCCTGATACCCAATCCAAACCTTCCCCAGAGTGTCTTGAAGTCATTTTCTTACTTTCTGTCTCTTGACACCTGAGAAAAGAGACTGACACTCTCCTTGCTGCAACCTCCTTGAAGATAATTGTAGAGAGCCATGAGGCCTCCCTTCAGCCTCCTTTTTTTCTAGCCCCAGTTCCTTCACCTGCACCTAAGTCTTGTGTCCTAGTCCCCTTCACCTGCTTTATCAATCTTCTATGAATGCATTCCGGCAGCTCATTATCTTGTAGTGAGGGGCCCAACAAGGAATACAGTGCTCAAGGTGCAGTCTCACCAACGTTGAGTACAGAGTATACAGTCTGTGGTGCTAAAGGTCCTTACAAGTGTTTTCACCTGCCTGCTAAGTTCTTCTCTTTTTCCTTTTTCATATAATATTAAGAGCTTTGATACAATATTTAGTATCATACTCCCCAGAGTACTTGCCTTGAATTCAGTTGTTTAACCTTGGAAAAGTAGTGGAAGATTTGTTCTTCCTCGAGGAGTTCTCCTGGATAAAATGCACCCTTTTTAATCCTTGATACTTAACTGCCATTAACGTGGAAGAGCTGTTACACCAGAGGATTTAAGAGACCATCCAAAATTCCTCTCTGCACACTGCAGAAAGCCTGCAAGGTGGTTTGGAGGAATTCCTTTTTAATGCAGAATCACATGCAAGATGCCAGATAACCCAGACTCCTACCTCCTAGAAAGGAGAGCAGCTCTTTCTGCAAAGAGCCCGATGCTGCCTGCTGTGCCAGGAACGCCAGGCTGTGCCAGGATATTCTTCCTCCTTACCATCTGGAGCAGCATCTCAGGTTGAAATAAAACCTGGCAAAAAGCATGGGTTCTGTCTCATCTGTTACTTGTCCTCAAAAGCCCAATGACTATTTTAATTTTAGTATCTTTCAGTGAGTGAATAAATACAACTGTGAACAAGCTGTAGAAGCAGATCCATTGGATGGCCTGTCTGAAGTTACCAGAATCAGATGTTCAGTGGTCTCAGGTGTCATATTTTGTGTGATCAGGAGAGACACCAAGACCAAGTGCAGCTTCCTTTACATCCTTGATTCATGCTATTGACCAGCTGTGTCACCATTAAAACTCAATCCAACTTTAAGAACTTGTATGATATACAAAATTTCCTTGGAATAATTACAGCAAGAATCCATTCTGTTAACGAATGCATTTCTAAATAAATGCGTGCCTCACACCAGACAAAAAGGTAAACAATTCAATATATATTACCTCTAGAAGTTTCCACTTTGATGAATCATTATCTGTGATGAAGTCCAGTTTATTGCTTCTGTCAAGCTAAATAAAACCATTAGGTACTGTTGTTGCAGATGATAAAATTGAAACCAGACAACATTAACATCTGCAGCTTCGAACACTACAGAAATGGTTTGCTTTAAATATGATGAAGCTCTCAAGGTAAACACTGAAATTCAGTGCCTGGAATCTGACTTAAAGAGAATTCTTCCATCTGACATTTGCTCGGATGTCATTATTAATATGAATAAAACAAAAGAAAGATAAATGTTACGCTTTAAGAAATGACTGCCATGTTATCAGGAGTCTGAAAAGGACCAAAGTTTGAGTACAGCTTTTACAGCCGTTTGAAATCCCTTCCTGAACACGTACAGCAATTCCATGTAGATGGTAAATCCACACCAAAGAATTACCATGCTAGATTACAGATGCAAACTATTTGCAAGAAAACTCAAATTTCATACAATTCCCAACTAGTACTTTTAAAAAAGCCAACAACTAAGTCACTATGTAGCTGAAAGCAAAAGAAAGTGCATGAAAACGTTCTTAGCATGATTTGTGAGATACAATTTTACAAGCGTTCACTGCAGTTCAACCTCTATTTTGCCCTAACTCTGCAGCTGGGAATAGCAATGTGCAGACGTGCCTTGAAAGGTTAGCTTGAAGCTGAAATACCTTCAAGAGGCACTTCAAAAGAGATTGCAGACATTGAAGAGAATGTCTTATTTCTGGTATAGGTATAATCAACACAGCTTCTAGAAAATGTGTACTTCATCGTCCGCTCTTTCAATTTATTTCAATGTATCTAAGCTCCTTCTCATAATTTGCAAATAAATATTCTGCTTAGCCAAGAAACGTGGTTTTGTTTGCTCCTTATACTGAGGTTGGAAGGAAAGGTCTCTCTATATCAAATTTAAGCTAACATTTCCCCTCTGCTACCACTGCTATTCCTCACAAAATCTCTGAATCACACAACTTTGGGTGGATTTTTCATCTTGTGCAGACCCATGTCCTCTGGTCCTGGCAGACAGGAGGGGTTAGGAGTGCGGCCAAGGAAGGAAGACAAGACTATTCCTTAGGGCAGCTCCTGCCTTCGGAGCGGTTCAACAGAACTGCACCTCCCTTACGTTTCATTTGCCAATTAGGTAAAGTTGGTACCATCTGTTTTATGCACATGAGAAGAAAGCCATATAATCCTGCTTAAATTATGCATAGTGCTGATATTCTAATGATCTGGAGCTAAGCAAGATAATGTGGTAGATCAGATTTCTCTAGAAGTACCTAGATAGTATACAGCCCAATTCAAGGTGCACAGACCCAGAACCTGGAGAACAAAACAGAACCCAGTGGCTCCAAAACTGCCAGGACAGTTGATAGCAACCCTAACATGGTGGTGCACAATGATCTTTCCTCTCAAGAGGACTGGTTCTGCATTAGGCCATGCAGGCTGGAATTTATTGTTTTGTGTTTACTATGGTCTATTTTCTTCCTTGGTACAGCATGGGCTGCACTTAGTGGTTGTCAGTCCTCATCTGTTTATGTGAACAGCAGTGCTGAAGTGTTTCTGCAGTGCCACTCACCCCTCGACTTCCTAAGTGCCCTGTCCTATTAAAATGCAAATTTATTACAGGAGATGGTAAAAGTTGATAATAGCCACATTTTTCTGCAAGTCTAATAAGCACTAGGCATCATTTCCATTGGTTACCTTCTTTGTTTACTGGTAACAAGCAGGAATACAAATGAATGCTGATTTTTCTTAAAAGCTTCTTTTCCAAATGGTATTTCATACATACCCACAAACTTTAAAAATCTAAGGCTAAAATTAGTACTGTTTAGATAAAGGTTAAAGAACCATATATCAGCATACCATAACATTTCATGCAGCTTTTGGCCACTGCATTCCAAGCACTTCTCGTGATCAGAAGGCAGATGCTCCTTGTCCAAATTCATGTCTGAAGCCTGTTTCTGAAGAAATATTTGGAAAGACCTATTTTCTATTGAGCCACGTACTCAATAAAAATAAATTAACAGTAATAATTACCAAGCGCAACCAACCCCAAACTATTACATATTCTTTTTATGTAATAAAATTAGATTTTCCATGGCAAAGGCTTGCTTCAGTGGTTTTAATTGCATGAGCACTTGAATACAAATGAAACCTCTGGAGTTCAGGTTTAATGCGAGAGCTCTGTGTGGATACGTGTTCTCCTCTGATCCAGCTCGTGTTACTCATCTATATGCCACGTGCTCAAAACACCCACTTGAAATGAACTGATGCAGCACCAAGCTCGGGGTCCACATGCACTCATCTAAACCCCAACCGCAGCTGAACTGCTGCAAGAACATAAAGAAGCTTAACCTCAAACTGCCACAGGGGCAAATCCTATTTCTGCAGCCATGCAGCTCAGAGAACATTTCCATCAGCAGAATTATGGTTTTTGTTGTCCTAAGGAAAGGTGGGAGTGGGAAGGACACGCTGCACTGCCCAGGGAAAGATTAGAAGGTGCGGGGCTGGGCTAAAGCAGCTATTGTTTCATGGCCACTCACTCTGTATACTGAATCCTTTAGGGGAAAATATGTTTTGAGATTGGATGACTGGTTATCAGATGACTTCACTGCCACTCCACTGCCTGGGGGAAGGAAAGAGAAATTCCTTCCTCCCCCAGACTGCAGGGACCTCTGTGGCCCACAAGAAGCACAACAGGGACCCAGGAGTCTGGAAGCAGTTTAGCACATCAGCAGAATTTTCAAGGCCCCCTAGATAAGGTAGATAGATCCAAGGGACGATAAACAAATCGCTATTGATTACATGCCCTGCAGCCTGTGTAACTCCAATTGAAGAATGTCTCCAGACCTCACCAGAACAATTTTAGTCTTTAAGAGACAAAATGGATTTAGTGCCAGCTAATAAAAGATCAGCCTACTTCTGCTTACCTTCATACTTGCATTAGACAAACTCTTAATACCGCCTAAAGGTGCGCTTTTTTCAGTCCCGTGCTCTTTTTACTCTCTCCCTCCTATCATTATACAGGCATTATACTATTCT